GGCACAAACAAACCAACAAGCTCGTAGCTATTTGGTACCAGTGAATATGCAACTGGATATGTTGTCCACAATGGATATCTACATTACAGCAGCACCGCAGAACTAGAGCATTAGATATAAAACAACAGTCCTACAAAGGAATTAGAACCTACACCACAGACACTAGCTAGAAAAGATGGAAGAAAAATTACTGCTGTTTTGGATGTACACACAGAAATGATAAAAAAAACAAACAAACAAACCAAAACCCAAACAATCCCACCAAAACAAAACAGCAAATCATCAAGGTGATACAAGTTTCTAGCAGAACCTGGATTTCAACTTAAATCTCCTGGAAGCCAATTTAATACTCAAAACATCCCTTCCTTTTTTAGAGGGCTTTTTCCAATGGAGGTTTATTTATGCAGTCAGATTGTAGGACTTGGGAAACGTTTTAATAGCAGCAGCACCTGATGCCAGGCTGATGTTTACCCAGGTAGCTTAATTTGTGGGAGAGTGTAATTCTGGTTTGTTCCATCCCTAGACAAGCCCTGATCGAATACTTAGCTCAGGAGGATCCATATTCTATTGATTCCCAAGAATTATATGCAGCTAAAATTATCTATAAATAAGGTAAAAATCCGGCCCCCAAAATAATGCCACAGGCACCTTTACTCTGCTTGAGAAGTCACTTCCAAATACATGTATTGAAATTCTGACCCTGTGCCTTAGAGCTGTTCACAATTTGCTATACGAGAAGCCATGCACTTGCCAAACTGATTTTCCTAGTAAAGAGAAAAAAGGCTGAAGCATTTTGCCATTAAAAACATGCATCAGTTTCCCAAGTGTGTGTGTGTCTAACAGTTACTTGTGTGTCTCTTAACAAAGTCTTAAGTGTAATATGAACTAAAAGACTGCATTTTCAAGTGGAAATTGCAATTTGAATAACATCATTTAATACCTTTTCCTTTTTAAAAAATAAATAAATATGGAGGAAACTGATGCAGGCATCACTGAACAGATGCTGACCTTAACTAAGTGCCGCTGTAATGATGGCTTATGACTGGTATTTGAAACTGCCGGTAGAATTCTGTGTACATGAGGACTGTCACTAACATCAGCTCATTTCTGTGTTTTGTTTGCTTTTCCTTAGAAGTCTGAAGACATCTGCCTTTTGTGCCATAGCTTTCAAAAGCCAAAGAAACAATGTATTAAAACCCAAGAACAATCCCAACTGTAAGTACCCCCTGGTATATTAAAGTTATTAAAAACATGAGCTCTACTTTTACACCTACTGTCACCTGGAGAGATTAGAGGCTATGTGACTTACACATTTTCACAGCTGCACAAATGAAACTAGAAGTATCTCTGATCCTGACACCCATTTTAAACAGAATTTGCAAAGACGCCTCCAAATTGAAATGCAGACCCTTTTAAGCGCAGCCATTTATTAATCACTTCAGATATGCTGACACTGCTGCCTCACTGCTGCTTGGCACAGCGGGCTACCCCATACTGAGCTCTGTTCTGCCAATTACTGCACTGCCACTTGGCTAGTTTTTGGCTTCCATTTAAGCTAGTGTGGGTACCCCCGTATGTTACTACAGTCATAGCAATAATGACAGAGCACCTGTGCTCTTTGCCTAAAAGTTAATTAATTAAGTTCCAACGGGACAATATGTGGAATAGGGGGCTACTTCGTACGGCAGCAGAGCCCAAAGTCCTTCAGAGGCTCTTGAAGCACATGCAGTCAGTGGCTTTGGGATGTTAAGGCTGCACAACAAGAGTTTAGGGGGGAAAAAGATGCTATGGCTTAAACATCAACACTAAACACCTGCTGGTGGCAGAAGCACAACTCTTCTTTTATTCTTCTCCCCCCGCATTTACTTGGACGCTATAGTAGGGCTACAAAAAGAAGAGGGAGCCCTTAGGAACATGCTATTCTCTAGTGCTCTAGTCCTTTGTTCTCTGCCCCCACCACAGAACATTCAAATTTGCTTCAATGTACCTTCAGTAGGGCGTTCTGCTTTGTAGCAGATGCTTCAAAACATTTTTATTTTAGACACTGCCTGCAGTTCTTCTCTGAAGGAACAGTTGCAATCTCAAGAAAAAATAAAGCCGGGGGGGTAGGGCATTCAGGCTGATGTGTGTTGTATATTTCTCATGGCTCTATGTCTACAAAGAACATTTCCCAGCAGGAAGGAGGGTTTTTTTGGTGTCTTTTTGAATCAAGCAGACAAAGGATTTCCACTTCATGATCACCAGACATTCTTTTGTGAGATAAACAGGAACGAATAAAGATCCTACATTCCTTTAAGTACACAGAATAAAATCCACTGTGAAATTTTAAAGGTTTATAAAGTAAAAAGCGTTTGAAAATCATCCTCAGGGAGCCAAAAAGTCTAGCTTGCCCTTTGAATATTGCTCTCAGCCTAAACTAGACGCATTTTTTCATTCAACTTTCTCACAACATTTACCTAACTACACTTGCCAGCATGTTTCGCCAAATTAGAAAAACTTCTGCAGAAACCATCTGCTTGACTTTGCTTACATATAATAAAGTATTGCTAAATACAATGTATTGGAAATGTTTGCAGATCTTTACATGGGAACCAAGAGCAGCAGTGCTGACTCAGGCAGATCTCCCGCTGATGTCAGTGGGAATTGTACCTGAACGAGTACTGCTGGATCTGATACAAAGCTTGCTGCGCAGCGATTGCCGCTGACTGACGTGAGAACATATGGTTATAGTTTAACAATACCAACTGTAATGGAGATGAGAAGGAAATTTTATAGCATTTCTGGCTTGCTGCTCCTCTGTAACTATCAGAAACACTTGAATGTAGCTGCTTCTATAGCAGTTTTTCCCAGCTTCAAGTGAACTCTGAGAAACTTGCAAAGTTAAATCCTACCTCAACAAGAACAGTTTGAGTCGATCTGTTGCTATAAAAACTTGAACACTGGGAAGGCTAGATACAAAGTCGAAAATAAGACTTCACAATTTCTCTACAGACTGTACTACATTACCTCTGGATGAGAATGCAGACATTTCAATACCTTTCCCTCGGTCCAATCCAAAGCAGAAATAAAGCCTTCATAGCACTGACTTTGTCAGCCTAGTGGTAAATTACAGCTTTAGTAAGTCTAAAACCTAAAAGTGGTCCAAAACATCACTGACATTATGGCACTGCTGAATTGTGATCACAAAAGCAGCACCTCTCCGTGGATAAAGCAAGCCCTCTCCCTCACAAGAGTGGCAGAAGGATGAAGAACAGCAATACTGAGAAAATCACGAAGAGAAGCCATGATGCGTGTATTCACAAGTCTTAACCACAGCTTTAACAGAAGAGATTCTGTCCCTTCAATACTTCCTAGGAAGGGGTCATATTAGAGACCCACACCCCAAAGAGTGGGTGAAATACTTCCTATTGCAAGCCACTAATTAGCATGCACTCATCACAAATGCCCCTCCTGAACAGCTGCTTACCTTGCATTGACACAGCTATATTTTTCCTTTTGGATGAGTTACTACATCTTTATATCTCCTCCTTCTTTACGTACCTATTGAGACAAAAGGTTTAAATTAAACAAAGCAAATGGGAGAAGTAAGAAATATGGATCACAGCTGTAATTTCTTCCCCTTTGCCAGACTAAGGTAAGGAATACAGTATGTACCTCTCGCCTTAAGCAAAAGCAAGTCCGAAAAGTAAACTGATGCTGAAAGCAAGCATCAACTTACACAGTTAAGCCCACAGAAGCAAATACTTATTATTTAATTTTTGACATCCCTGTGCTACCTTGCTCTTGTTGCTTCCACTCTTGCTCATGTTGTTGTATCTTGTTTATCTCATGTTTCTCTTTTCCAACTGAAACTGTAATTCTGTTCCTTGGAGAGACTGAGAGAAGGGAAGCCATCTGTGGTTCAGGGGTTCTGCCCGTACCATCAGTGCACAGCAAACTTCAACCTACCTCAAAAGCATGGAGTCTCAAAGTGCAACTTAGCACAAAACTGAGGTTTTGTTTAGAGGAGTCCAGCCAGAATCGTGTTAAAAGCAAGAGTACAGCTATATTCATCAGAGTGAGTGGGATAAATCAGGAACAGGACATTACATTGCCCGCAATGTCACTCGCATGTGAGCCCAAAGCAGCGATTCCAAAGGAGTGCTGATCAGAAACATTTGCAAAGCTGCAGGAGGAACTGAACTTCAACTCTGCGCAGTGCTATGTTATTTAACACCTCATCAAAGGAGACCTGGGTTTCATTTTGGACAGTAGACTTTATTAGAAATTTTCTCCTCATTCATCAGTAAATTCACATTAAAATATGCTGAAGGCAGCTCAGTCTAAACATTTGACATCCTGCCATAACAACAACTTCCAGTTTAAAAACTAGATAACTGATCAGGCAGATAACTTGAAACATGTAAGAAATGCAAATAGAAAGCAGCATCTTAAAAAATGGGATAAGCCTGAAAAATTAATACATTTCAGGTGGAGTTGGGGAAAAAAAACAAAAATCAGTCACCCCAAGATGGGAAACTGTTAAATGAGAAGTCCACAGACTCTAAACAGATAAATAAACATTATAACCACACATACATTAAAAAGAGAACCAAGTACTTAGAGTTCATACCACATAAAAATCATAAATTTGTTCAAATAAGAAAGTGACAAGCTTTCTAAAATATGAATATCCTAAATTCTTGGGATAGTGAACACTTTGTTATAAACTGCAGAACTTTGGAGGGACTAGATTTGGTCTTGAAAACAATGCACTGCATCTCACTGTTACCACGTCCAAAACCTAATCTTTCTGACACATATACCAGTTTTTTCCTCTAGTGTTTTTATATCACATACTCTTTCTTCTAGACAGTAATCTGCTCCATTTTACATGTTCAAGCTTTTAGGTATTATAGGCCTGATTATGTTGAGGGCTGAACTCAAAGCTCTCAACAACGCTGGATAACAAAGGCAAAGTTTAAATATTTTTCAGAAGTTACTGTCAAGATTTTTCCTTTGCTAATTTATTTTTATCTATTGGAGTAAGGTGTAGGAGAGAGAAAAAAAGAAAAAAAATCATCACATTATTGAAGAATGCTCTGTCCTGCATGACAGTGGATCTTGGAGGTCAGATTTTCTATTGGCATTTACCAGAGGCAACGAAGATAAACCAATATATGACAGATGAGAATAATGGCCTTCAGGACTGTAAACACACCAGGCAACAGATAATACACGAATCTCAATCAAACCAATGTTTTCACATTCTTTAATAGTCCCCCACAGTGATCCGCTTCCACTGGTTCAGAAAAAAATATATATTAAAAATTAAATAACACTTAAGTGTCCATCATGAAGATTTATATTTTGCTGTAAACAATTTTCTGCCATTTGCATTGATGTAGTCCAACATGAGGCCAGAGGGTTCTAGACGTCTTATTGGTACTGTAAATAATTTTTCAGAGACAGAGGCAAAGGTAGAATTTCTATGTCATGCAGGCGGTCTCTGCCAAGAGCAAAACGAATTGATCTTCGGCACAAGTCCATTAAAGGCAGGGGTTCCGCTGAAAAAGACAGAAGCAAAATAATAAAGAGTTAATTTTCCAGCATCCCTATTTACAGACAGTGTTTTATTTATTAACATAGATTCTACATTGTATTAAAAAGTCATAAAGATAGTAATGGTATTGTGAAAAATATTTGACGACCGTGAGGCAATTAAGATAATCAATAGAAGCAAAGACGGAATTCTATGCATTTCACCCGTAAGAAGCAACTACAAAGTTTCAGACTGAGCTTCCTTATCTGTAAGGCTTAAAATAATAACCCAAAACCACTCTTCAGGCTTACCAAGTTGCAGCATAATAAGTTATTACATTTCCAGATTTCTAACAACACAAAGAGCTTCCACTCTGTTTATAACACAACATTCGTCACGTCGTGTTAACGTGAACGACACTGGCAACTTCTGACCTTTGCATACCAGTTCCTTCTGCGCCTTAGAAATTGGGAATGGTACTTAAGGGTAACCAAACTTCTCAGCAAACACTACTTTTCCTGCAACACTCTCTTAGCCTTTCTTTCTAGGAAGTTCATTGGAAGCAAAAAACCTAAATAAAACACCCTCAGAAAGTGAGAGGAAATTTAAACCTTTTCCTCCGTGGATAAATTTGGGGTGGAGGAGTCAGCTGACTAGAAGGCAGGGTGTGTGTTCTCATATGTATACACACAAACACCCCCAAAATATACCAACATCTTGTAGATGCGCTTAGTTTAATTTAATACCGCTGAATTAAGTAACTGTCACAAATGCCTGGCTAGTAGCACTTAAGATTGGAGCCCCAAAGACAGTGATCTGCAGCATCTCAAACCATCTCATCCCTGCATCCCATCCTGCCTGCAAGACTCGTGTAGAATTGCAGGAACATCATAGCATTTCCATCCAATGGTAGCGTGAACGACCTCTGTGATTGTGGGGTTTGCAACAGAAATGTTTTTGCAGCATGAACTGGAATAAAGCCGTGAAGTCTTTAACCAGTTACAGCTATCTCAAGAACAACTTTAATCAGATGGATTTGGCTGCACATGTTGGTTTAAAAGGGTAAGAGCTTAAAAGACTACAGGAAACTCTTCCTCTTTATGTGATAAAACAGTAATAGCCTTTAAAACCTTACTAGTACTTTCAAACAGAGGAAAAAAAAAAAGTAATGTCATATGCCTATATTGTAGTGATGACCTTTTATAACTTGCCAGATTACTTCCAACTGCTCAACACTGTACAGCACTCAGTGGTTTTATCAGGAGTTCTTTTATGTGTCACATGTAGATTTACACAAACTACATTAATCTACCAATCCTTTAGCTGATATTATTTTAAATCCTACTTGAAAAAAAATCATTACAAAGCACAAAATATCCGATTTAAGGATTGGTTTTATATGCTATAATGGTCTGCTCTGGTGACACACCACTGACTTAATGGATTTCCCATCAGTTATCCCAGCATTGTGTTTGATTTGTATAGTCCACAGTTCACTATGGTGTTCCCCAAGAGTGTCTAGGGAAAAAGCTTAGAAAGCATTCTGTCGTATGCTGAAAGACTGAAAATCTCATTTAACTTTATAACCACTTCAGTGACTCAGATATGGAGTCTACTGCTCCTTAAAAATCCACTTCAGCTGTAATTTTGGCTATTAAAAGATTAAAAAGTAAGAGCCCTCACATTCCAGTAATAAAGTAACATATTCTATACATCAGTGATCTTAGTTTTTATTTTTACATACCAGAATTATGAACATTAAATCTTAAGGGATGAAGCTTTAAAATTCGTTAACTAGCGTTAATAAGTAGAAGCTAAATAGCTCATGAGTTCCGAGACACAGAATACAACACACCTTACAAGTCTTACACCATAACAACAATTTTCTGAGTATCTTCCCAGAATCTCTGAGGTGCCATTAAGAAGATGTAAAATAAGGACTAAGAATGTTTAAAGCCATTAACTGACCATGTGGTCTCTTTTTTTTTTCCCCCCTACACAAAGGAATATGTAAAACGTAGCCATCTGTGCAGCCAGGCACAGAGTTAATCCTAAACTTCAAAACACAATTTAAGGAAAGGTTAAAATATTTTTCAAGCCTGAAATGCTAAATGAATGTCTCCTGTCTCACTTCTACAGGGAATTTTCAAATGCTAAAGAAAATGTCCCCAAGTGTTTGCAACAGCTGCTAAATTACACATACCGAGTGCTTTTTTGCAACTTGAAAATTTAACTATACCCTTTTCATTCTCCTTTCTATCCCACAGCAGTTGAAACCTACAGCAAAATTAGAACAGGTTTGTCCTACAATACTAAATGAAAGTTATATTTTCTGGGGTGCTGGCTGCAAGAACTTGATGAAAAACTGTAATAATAGCATTTTAAGTAAAAACTTTTGGCAGCTATGAGTAGTCTTAAATGATCAAAAATTAAATTCAGGAAAACAAATCACTTCAGGTTTCAAAATAGTTTATGGGATAAATGTAAACCTGTTTAAAATTAAAGACCACAATTTTTAGACAGCATAACTCAACAGAGCCACTATTAAGCGTTTGGAACGTACCTTAATGTAAGCACTCTCCCACCCATCACATCTCACATTTTTACTACGTATCTTAGAATGGAGGATTACTTGGAAAAAAGTTTGGTTTTTAAGAAGCACGTGTTAAGTTCTGAAAACTGGGCGAGTTTCAGAGGGAGGCATTTGTGTTAATACAGGGAAGAGGCAGGAGATGGCTTGTATAAGGGTTGGGCAGAGCCTTGGTCCTGTGCTGTGCGGCTGCTGGGAGTGCTTCTCAATGCTGGCCGCTGGGTGCATCCCCCAGCAGCACCCTGCCCTGAAGCCGAGAAGAGCAACTCAGCCATGCACCTTTCTCCTTCACACCGGGTTCCTGGCCTGGATGGGTGCCGCCACATCCCCCAACAGGTCCCCCCCGTTGGGAACCGGCAGAGCAAAGGCATGCTGGAGCGCCGCTGCCCGGCAGTCTAGACACCAGCAAGTGGTAATTTCAGAGATGCTTTAACATTCTTCAGGTGCCAATAGCTGGCGTACAGCCTGGCTGCCAATATCTGGGTGCCAAGCCCAGGCTCTGCTGTGCCCCCATTGCAACCCCGATGGCTCACCAGCTGCAAAGCATTTCCTGCGCTGGAGCTCGGGGAGAGGGAACTGGGGTGATGTTAGCACAGCACAGCATGCCGGGGAGGAGGGGATGCTCATCATCTGCTTAACAGCCGAACTGTCTCTTTTACACACATGCAAACACCAAAAGCACTTCAGGTTTTCAGGGAAATTCAGTCAGAAATAAAAGTATCACACGTCACCGGGTTGTTTGGAAAGGAAAGTTCGACCATTCTGAGTATGTATTGCTGTGCACCCTGCCTAAAACATACGTGCAGACTCGATGTATCCGAAACACTCAACCGCACATTCAAACGTTCAGAACAGTACTTCCAAAATGCTATTTTCATTTGAGATCATACAAATGCTCAGAATAGAATATTCTAATAATGCAAGAGATGGAAGACAAATATTCTCAAGCCACATGGTTAGCTGTGAGTTTGGCTACTGACAAAGTCTTTCTTTCACAACGTTAAGTATTCACTTTTGAAAAACTTTTAAATTCAGGGATATTAACGGATTGTCAGAGCATCTCACTACTAAGTATACCTAGTATGCATTCTAAGCGTTGTATGTTTAGCTTAAGCCACAATGGAATGGAATTGGAGCATTCAAGCCCCCCAGAAGAGCATGAAGCAGACATTTTGCCCATGCTATGTGAACTCCAGTAATGTTCTTGCCATTAGAAAAAGGAGGAATTAATTTCTGAGCTGGAATGTGAAATTGTAAAGAAAACATGATTCACAAGAATGGCTCTTTGTATTAAATTCCCAACCAGGCTAAGAAATTCCAAGCGCGGCACTCCAGGGCAAGGGAGCAAGCTTCGCACAGGAAACCCAGCGCTTCCTCCCAGGCTGCAGCAGAACTCCGAGAGCAGAGCGTGGGTATGGCTCACTGGGCATGCACGCGCTGAGCCCCGGCCGCCTCCCTTCACCTTCCTGAACATACTTTAAGGAATTGTCCTCTCGTTTAAAGTTTATGACAAAATCTCTTCACCCAAAGGTAGCTCCTCGTAAACTGTCACATTACAGGAAACTGTTTTTCAAGTGGAAAAAAAAAAGTGGAAAAAATAATATGGCTTAATTTATGTGTCAGAGTTTAATTCCCGTGTCTCCCAATTTCATACCAGTAGTTTCCAAGAAGGCTCATTAAAAAAAAATCCAAACCAGCTAAGAAACAGGCCTTTGCTTCCACTCCTTCTCAGCATTGTATCTGCAGCAGACCTGCCAGGGGTCACAGTACAGGATACTCCGTCGCAAACCTCCCCTTCCCTGCCCTACAGTTACATGCATGCCTCTACTTGAAAACCTGGGAGCAAGGGCCAACAACGGCTGCTCTTCTCGCACGGAGCCGCATTTCACCGAGCGGTATCCCAAATAGCTATTTAATACAATAGCTAATAGATTAAAAATGGCTTAAATAGCTACCAAATAGCTATTTTTATTTCATTAGTTTAATTAATTTATTGAATAGCTATTAAAAACAGAAAACAGCTGTGGTTAGATATCTCGATATAGTCATCCTAATGGTACCACTGATGGTTTAAGGACAACGGCAAAGAAACATTTGTAACCAGAAACAAGTATGGGCTTGTGAGCGTATCTCCGATAAATACGCATCTGCGATAGCAATTTGCACATCGTTACCAGCTGAAAAGTTCATTTAGTTTTGGCAACCTGTAGTTATTTAACAATCTGGCGCTCCAACAAGATTGCCTCATCTCTGTAAACAGGCTTTTATAGTTGAGATACTAAAGTCATTTAGCATCCAATAACACTAAATGTTATTAACTGCCACATTACATAAGGCTCATACAAAAGAGCAGCTTTTAGCACACAACAATTATTTGCCAAACGAAAATACTCCTTTTTTAAAGAAATGTTTAAAGCTCTAACAGCACATAATGT